GCCTGAACTGCTCACCAGAGGACAGGCTGCTCAGCAGGGAGCCTGCACAGCTGGGAGCTCTAGGATGTTACCTTTGTAACTGACAAAGCTAAAAGGCTAGAAATTAAAACAGTGCTGGAGATGTGGTCAGAAGAGCACTAGACTAGGAGTCAGAAAAGCCAAGTTTTGGTATCCTCTTATAGAAAATGGGGAGAAGGGAATACATAGGAACAGCAGGCCCCTGCCAGCCCTTATAGTCCTGTTTATCAAAAAACCACTCTCACTGGGCTTTCTTCTGAACACCCGCTACAGCAGCAAAAACAAGGACTGTGTTGTAGCAGGAAAGTCCTGAGGTTGTAAAGGCAGATGACTGCAGCAGACACCAAGACACTGACAAGACCCTGTCTTACCGCTCCTGCAAGGAGGCAGGCCTGTTCTGGCCAAGGGATGGGAGAGGCGACAGGGCAGGGGCCTCCGTCCCATTCTTCAGCCCCATCTCAGGCCAAGGACAATGTCAGCCTCACCTCCATTATCAGCCCAAGCTTTTTTACTATCTCATTTGAGCTACAAGACCTCCATGGAGAACATAGGGTAAAGTCATCTTTCCTACTTTGTAGACAAGGCAATTGAGACTAAAGGTATAGAAGTGCTTGCTAATAACTTGAAAATGCAGAACTAAGATCTTTGGAACCCAAGCATATGCAGGTTCACTGTTGCACAGTGCCTCTCCTGGGAACCTTGTAAGGGGGCACAAACAGGGTCGACCTGGCCCATGGCTCTGAAACAGCACTGATTACAGGGAACCATGAGCCAAACCCTAGCTAGATGATGGTTCATAGAATTATTCCCAAGGCCAACAGATTAAAAGGAACAAAGAAGGATATTTCATACAGGTAGAACTCCAACCAGAAAATACAAAAACTATGAAGCTTTATGTTCCTAACAATATAGCTTCAATGTATATAAAGCAAAATTGGTTAAAAGAAAAAACGTCTGAGCATGATGGCCTCTGGGAAGGTAAGGTAAGATTCCAAGTTCAAGACCAGCCTGGGTTCAATCCTCAGTACTGAAGGAAAGAAAGAGAGAGAGTGGGGAAGGGGGACTGACAAACTCACGTGGAAAGTAGATTTCATACACTTCTCTCAAAAATAGACAAATTAAGTAAACTAGCAGGTCTCACTTTGGTCTCAAACTCTTTTGTGCCCTTAAAAACTGAGAACCCAAAAAAATCTTGTGTTTCTATGGATTTATACCTACAGTTATGTACCATGTTTGAAATTTAAAATCAGAAAAAGAAGTGAAGGGTATTAATTCAGTTAAGTAACCATTAGGGGCTGGGGATTTAGCTCAGCAGCACAGTGCCTGCCTGGCAAGTGCAAGGTCATGAGTTTGATTCCCGGTACCGGAGAAAAAACAAAAACAAACAAACAAACAAACAAACAAACAAAAACCAACCATGATATGTTAATATGAACAAATTTCTATGAAAATTATATTTTCCAAAGGGGAAGAATTTAGTGAGAAGAGTGGCATGCTTTTACACTTGCAAATCTCTTTAATATCTAGCTTAATAGAAGACAGCCAGGTTCTCATATCTGCCTCTGCACACAATTTGTTGCCTCATGTGTTTCGGTTGAAGTATATGAAGAAAATCTGGTCTCACACAAAAATGTAGTTAGAAAAGGGAGGGGCTTCCAGATAACTGTTGACATTCTTCTTTGCTAGGACCCCCAAAAAGTGACATATAGTCATTTCTTAAATGCTTGCTGTAATGTAAACTCTGAAACCATATCAATGAACTGTTCTCACTCTATTACCTTAAATAGGTCTATCTCATACTTCGAGTAAACCTTGAAGTATACACATTTTTAACCTTATAGACCCTCAAAAAGGATCATGGGAATCCCTGGGGGGACCCTGACTTATTTAGAGAACCACTGAAATAAACAATAAAAAGGTAAAAAAGGTAGGATTTGATGGCATAATTAACAAGTTTGATCAAAGTGGTTTCTTAGTTCTAAGAGGTATCTGAGTAGGTATCTACATAGAACCTTGCTCATAACAAACCACAAATACACACTGTTTTGAACAAATAGTTCCTCCATCAGCTGGAGAAACATGTGCCTAGACAGGCTGCAGACACTCAAAGATGGACAGATGCCCAGCACGCCAGGTGTCCCACAGGCTGCAGAGGTCTTGGGTCAGCCTCATCATGAAGGGGTACCACATCACAGAGCAGCCTTCTGCCACTGCTACACAGCCAGGGTAACAGGCTGGCCACAAAGGGAGGATCCTGACAACTGCCCAAGACACAGCCCTGGCCAGACTTAGTTCCTGGGAAGGGCTTCCCTCCTCACTCTCAACACCTGTCCATGTTGTGAGCCTTGGGGGGTCCCCAGTAAGAGTTGCCAGGTAAAGACTGCCCGTCCTCCTCTGCCCTTGTCTCACTGCCCTTTGGAGGCCCCACAGGGCTGCCAGGTACAGACTCATGCATGTCTTGCCATGTGTTATTTTTGCATAAGCAGCAGCAGGAACAATGCTCGGCTCTGTCCAGGTCGGGCACTGGGACACCAAAAACAGCACAACAAGCCAGCTGCCCAAGGAGCCAGCACCTTGCATAACCACCTGGGGGCCCCACTGCCCCCAACAGTGCCCAGCACTACACCTCCCCTGGATAGCAGAAAGCTGCCCTCTACAGAAGGCTGGAGACCAGGGAGCGGAATTGCTGCTCTCAACCCCAAATCAGAGCTAGGGCCACAGTTTCTGAGGGGGCTTTCAGAGTACGTAGAACAGGGCTGAGGATATAGCTCAGTGGCATAACCTCCTGCCTGGCAAGTGCAAGGTCCTGAGTTCAATTCCCTGTGCAAAAAAACAACAACAACAACAAAAAAAAAGTGCATACAACATCTCTACCCCAAAGTCATGCACCCTTGGGGATCTTACATTCCTAGGTGCTCTTTACACGCTAGCACTATCAGAGACTTTCATTCACTCATTTGCTTTATTTGCCCATTACAATAACTGCTGAGGGAATTCCATTTTACAAACCAGCAGATTGAGGGTCAGAACAGCCAAGAACTTGCCCAAGATTACACAGATAGTAAAAGGCCATAAGAAGCCCCAATTTGAACCTCTGTCTATAGAGTTAGGGCTAACGCCACACTGCCTAGCCCTGCAGAGAGCACGCCTTCACCCAAGTGATTGTTGGTAGTTTTGTTCCCTTGTTTGGTTGTTTGGTTGGTTGTTTTCTTGGTATTTTGAGATGAGTCTCACTAAATAGCCCAGGCTGGCCTCGAGCTTAAGATTCTCCTCCCTCAACCTCCTGAGTGCTGGGATTATAGGCATGCACCACCACATCTGACTGCAAATCCTCTTAATGGTAGGGATTGTGAGAGGTAGAAGGGGGAAGAAAGGGTCCCAGCGTGCTGTACCTGAACCCAACTTGGTCATCCTGGAAATCAAAAGACATCCCGTTCCAACCCAGTCTCTGCCTGTTGAATCTGCTGCCTCTCCGCCCTGCCTGTGCCTTCATCTCACAACTAGATCAGGTGAAGGAGGGCCATGTCTTCTCACCTGTGTCCCTACCCACTTTGCCCTATGCTTTGCACAGTCAGGGTTCAGACATTGGCTGAGACGTAAGAAGTGTTCCCAGCCTCTCCACTGCCCCTACAAGGACCAACCCAAGAGAAGACAGAGCCTTAGAAATGGGGGTTAGCAAGTGCACTCCTCCTCCCTCCCAGAAGATTCCTCCCCAGGATCCTTCCCACCCAAGGCTGGAGAATCAGGAGTGTGTCAAGGCTCTTACGGAAGTCCCTCCTAGGGTACCATCAAGCCTTTCCTCCAAGTTCCTCCCACAGGAAAACCATGGGAGGCATGGCCCAGACAGGAAGAAAAGACTTGAAAGTCATCTCCCCTCTCCGATGAATCCCTGGACACCTTCTTCCATGACATTATTAATTCCTTCCTACTCCAATACGTTTTCTATTCAGGATAAAATTTATCTTACCTTTGGAGACCCACACCTTGGATTCAAAGGCTGGCCCTTTCATGAGCTACATGGCTTAGAACTAATCCCTTCACCTCTCTGAACCCCTGCATAGCCACTAGGCCTACCGAATCAGAATCCAGGCCTCCTAGCTGTTTCTGGCCCCCGACTCTAGAACCAGACTATCTGGGTCCAAATGCTGGCTGTCATCCTCACTTACTCTCTCATGGCCTCAACATCTGTATCTGTAAAGTGGGGATGATAGCACACCTACCTGCCTTGTAGCAGTGCTATGGAACTAAATAAGGTAATTCAGGCAATGCACTTAAAACAGTCTTGACACACAATTAGTACCCACTAAGTACTAGTTATCATTAGAATGGACGTTGATAAAGTTGTGCAGTGCCCTGCACCCATCCCTGGCAGTTAGTGCTCGTAAAACAGAAGCCACAGTTACCAGCCTACACACACACACACACACACACACACACACACACACACTCCAAGACTGCTACGTCTGCGTCTTGGCCCTCTCTGAGCTGCAGTACTGGGCAGAAGGAGCTCAATCAATGAATGACTTAAGGCTGCAGAGGGAAGCACCGCCTTCCTGGACCAGCGCGTGTGCTCAGGGAGAACAGCAACCGAAGTGTGGGGAAGAGAAAACAGAGCGCCCAGTAGGACAGATAAGCAAGAGAAGTGAGTGAGAAAAGGAACAGGAGGGGCTGTGGCGGAGAAAGATAAGGCGGAAGGATGGAGAAGGCCAGCCCCAAGGAAAACGCTAGAGCGGGGCAAGGCGAACGCAAAGGGCGCGCGGCCGGGCGCTGGGCGGGAGCGCGGGAGCGGGAGGGGGCCCGAGGGGC